GTCGGTGAGAGGACTGTTGGTGGTGGAGTGGATGCAGGCGATGGAGGCACAGCCGTCGGTGAGAGGACTGCTGGTGATGGAGTGGATGCAGGCGATGGAGGCACAGCCGTCGGTGAGAGGACTGTTGGCGATGGAGGGGCAGCCATTGGTGAGAGGACTGTTGGTGGTGGAGTGGATGCAGGCGATGGAGGGGCAGCCGTCGGTGAGAGGACTGCTGGTGATGGAGTGGATGCAGGCGATGGAGGCACAGCCGTCGGTGAGAGGACTGTTGGTGGTGGAGTGGATGCAGGCGATGGAGGCACAGCCGTCGGTGAGAGGACTGCTGGTGATGGAGTGGATGCAGGCGATGGAGGCACAGCCGTCGGTGAGAGGACTGTTAATGGTGGAGTGGATGCAGGCGATGGAGGGGCAGCCGTCGGTGAGAGGACTGCTGGTGATGGAGGGGCTGTAGGCGACGTAGGGGCTGCCCAACAAAATCAAATTGGAAAAATGTTTCTCAGAAACAAGTAAGTGCAGATGTTTACCTTTCCAAAAGAAGATGATATTGTAGGTGTATGTGGTGTGAGATGTGATGCAGAGCACAGCTGAGCCAGTGTAGAATGAGATTCTGGCTCCAGGAGATGTTGACTCATAAGTTGTATTGCCTGTGTTTTCGTGACGATGCTTCCCCTGTGTGAACGTTAGAGTTCACAAGAATTGATATTTCCTGTGAAACCGGGCAAAGTCATTTGTTCAAAACAAGCCACATGATGGTGGGGTATCAAATGATAGGAATCAGGAGATTGCCAAATGTTTTGGAGATGAGAATGTGAATGTTTGTCCAGGTCCTGCTGACTCTACTGGGAATACACACTAAGTACACGTTTTCTGTCTTTAGCATTGAAATTGGCATATTCTCTTCATAAAAGGATTGTGCTTGTGATGACTTTAACGAGATGTCAGAGTACAAAATGAATTCCTTTAATAAACTTGAAGACTTAAACTTTGGCTGGCAGAAGATGTGAGGAGATTGCATGTTTGTTAAATTACAAGGTACATACGTGTAAATCATACACAACCAGTTGTTTCGAGTTGTTTTTATTCTGTTACTTTTCAGGAGTGCAGTAAGATTACATCCATGCTGGTCATGCCGTTGTGCCGTCGTGGGAGGGAGCCAGTAGATGATCATGCCCATCTGTTCCACTTTGTCTCTTGCAGTCATGAAAGAACATTGTTCAGGTTGATCGGGTGCACTGACATGATGTTCATTGGTCGTACTCGTGACCGGTAGAGCAAACATTTGAGGAAGGCAACGAAGGGGTGAGTCGTTATCAAGCCATCTTTTGGTCTCAAAGTTTACCTCCCATCCTATCCATACATGTGCACAACCATGTTTATTTGCTACATATCTCGCTGCATTCAAATTCACTTATATCTGATGAAAGGTAAGTCCGATTAATCTGTTTGCATTTTTTGTTAGAAAATATTTACCACTTTTTCAAATGATATGTGGTGATTTTCAGATCCTTGCTTGGGCATATCATTTGCCCCTGTATGGTAGTGAAGTCCAGAGTGTTTTAAATTGTTCAGTGGGTTATCCAGTGAGCCCAATAAGTGTATGTGTAGTGCAAATATTAGAAAATCTTTTTTAAAAAAACATGCACGCAAGATATATTACTGTTAACTGTAAATTCTGAGCTTAATCTGAAATGGGGCTCTATTATTGGCCACCAATAATCAACTTCAAAGTTGTACTCTCAAATGCATCTATTACAGCATCAGCAAGCATTTAATTTTTTGTTCACCATTTTCTGAACTTGTACTCCTTCATGGGAAATGAATCCAGAGAATTGCTTTTCACTCAAGGAAACAAAGCTGTTTGTGTTGAGTAAATCACAGGTTATTGGTAGTCTCAACTCAATCCAAACAAACTGTTAGAGATCGAAATGATTTTAAAATAAATCTACTTGCGTAAGGTAAAGGAAATCAAATAGTTTTTTCTCAGTTATTAATGACCGGGCATTGGGCAGTGCATGAATAATTCCTCACCATTCAGGGTGTTACTTACCATCAGCACTCTGAATGAAATACAAGACATAATGATACTAGTGAATGGAAAAAAACCTTCACTGAACTTTGATGAATAATTTGACTTCGTTGAATACTCCATGTGAAAAATAAACTGATAGCAGAGTGGTGACTTTGTTATGACGCAGGTGGGATACGGGCAGGGCTGGGTTGGGGAGGGTTGAGTGTAGGGCTATGCCAAGTACATGTACCCGGACCACATAGTGAAACTGGGCATCACTGTAAACACAGTAGACCAAAGGACACAAAAGTTTTGTCACAGGAAGGTGTACAATGTTTAAGCAGGTACAGCTGGGCGAAGGTGGGTTTGGATTTAGGTTGAATTTATTCAGTAAAATACTAGCACCCTCAGGGACTTAAAAGGTTCCAGATTGAGCAAATTTTAGATTATACAGTAGAATCTCCGGGGATCATGTGTGATTAGTCTCTGCCAGTTCCATACTCCCTTCACTTCAGGCATGAACTTTTTCAATTTTTCAGACAATTTTCCTCATACAGTTTTGATGTGTGCTTCGAATCTGTGATTTTGAGCCCATGTAAATATTGTCTTGTGTTTCTTCTTCACGTCCTTCTGCAGCGTAACCCTGACAGAATGCTGGAATGTGCCTCGTGGAGAAAAAAAAACTTGAGGTTTCTCCTGCACCTGCCCCAGTGGCTGGATCAGAATGACCTGTACATAAAGGTAAAGCTGTCAATGGCTATGTCTTCAGAATGACCTGCACATAAAGGTAAAGCTGTCAATGGCTATGTCTTGCGCTTGAATGACGGGATGTCTCAGCTAATGACATTGCAGATTGTGCTAAATAATTGGATGTACGAAGACTACCTTGAATCACTTCACGTAGGCCTATAGGAGGACATGTGAAACACAATCAGGCTATTTGTATATGCAGACACTGCTGATGGGATAAAAATGGTTGGAAGATCATATTCAGGTTCACAGCGTCAGTGTGTTTATTCGGTCCGTGGGATATATTCCTTGACAGGAAGTCTGTTGCCTCATTCTGTTTGGACAGAAAGTCTACCGGTACACTGCCTGACCTACGGGGACCCCCAAACCGCATCTTTGATGGCAGGCATTTTGACTTGATGGGCGAGTATAGCCACATTTTCTCCTTGTGCCAGCTCCATGTACACCACCATGAAAGAACTGATCATCAGTTACTTGGGCATGGTAAGGATAACTCTGGAAGTGTGAGTGAATTGTATCACATTCAATGCATGGATAGGCTGGACTGGGGTTGTGCTTAGTTTGTGAGGACTTTTGGCGAACTCAGTGAGTTTGTTTTGACTTGTTGGAGCCTAGATTCCAGATTGGTCAGTTCCACTTTTCACTTTTAAAGGAACAACCAGTACTAGGGGTGTGCATTTATTGGTATTTTTGGAACCAGGTACACAGTTTAGGTCAATACTGGGTACCCTTAAAATATAAAGAACACTTAACAAATGGCATATTGTTCACAATCCTGGTGGACCATTTCCTTGAAACAGGGCTCTGTTTTTGTACATAGGAAGCAACACATTGTTCTAAACGTCAGAGGCTAATCACCCCCATCGTTTTATTCAACAAAATGTTACCTTTAATTTGTAACAAAAGTAGCTCTGTTGATCTCTGAACCGGTGTTGCGACTAAGCTTTTCGGCGGCACTATGATTTCTTAGCAATTCTGCCCTTCACTATTAAAGTTCGCATATTTGATATTGACGGGCAGATACGTACCTGCTTGTCGATAGCAAAACCCAGCACAGGCCTAACCAATACTGGTGAATAGGGAAGAATGTTGCCTGTATATTATTCAATGCGGCGCTCTGACAGAGGCTGATGTTTGATATTTGAATCCAGTGAAAATCAAAACAGAAAACTGTCCACGCATGCAACAAAGGCATGTCCTCGGGCTCAGTGACAGTGCTTCATACTGTGGAGGCTTTCTGTAGCTGGAGCAGGTAGATGTCCGTAGATGAATGTAATTACCAAATATGAACTTTTCTTGTCTTTTTTTAAACTTATCCTTTCCCCCATTATATGTATAATTACCTATGTTTGTCCACTTCTTCTTGGATTGTAGGAGATCAGGCTGGTTCCGGATGTACATATGCATAGATGTCAATGATGCTGTCCAGACAGCACCTCTCATTGTTACTCCCAGTATAAAGATCTGTTGTCTTAGCAGTGATACTGTGAGTATGAATTTGTCTATGTATTGAAGAATTTTTAGACTGAACTTTTGTGTATTTCTCTTTGTTTGTGTTTTAGTCAGTCTTTGTAAAGTACCTTTATGAAGTGAATTTTAAAAAATATATCAGTTTGATTGAAAGTCAAATCTTTGGAAACAATATCCTTGCAAAGAAAATCCTTAATATTCAAAGATAAATTACTTTTGTGCACCAGAAAACTTCCCGCTGTCATTGAAAATGTTGTGACAGAATGCACTCTTGGTTACATATTAAGCTAAACAAATAAACCTGAACTGGTATGAACAGTAAGATAGACTGACATTCCCGATATGGAGAAATGATTGGGCTAACACTGCTGATGGGAAAAAAAAATAGCCTTTTGAACTGAGATGCATGATGATGGAGATACTTAATCTTTTGCTGCAGGTTGCAAAAATTGCTGACATTATCAATCTGAGGTGGGATTCCCAAAAACTTTTCAGATAATGAATTTACTCCTTGTTAGGATCCAGTCAGTAACAGTGATAGTTATGATGCAGATGATGAGAATGTAGAGAAAAACTCAGATCAATTTTACCTGATGTACAAATTAAAAAGAATGTGAGGTTAGATATTCCAAGTCATAGTCTTCACATCTGAAAGAAAATTCCTGCAAGGTTATATTAAAGGTTATCTGCGATCACTTTTTATAGATGCTGTTTAATTTTTGGGACGAGAAATTCTTGTGTGAATAGGGTAAGTCCGTGTCTGAATTGAATGCTCTGCGGCTGTGGTATCAGTTTTTCCCATTGACACCCTACAGTAAATAGCCACAGCCATGGCCTCGTTTAATTGCCTTCCTTGCATCTGGCATTTACTTTTTGTCTCTGATTTAATTGTTCCTTTTCTAGGTTGTTACAGCAGTGTTCTTTGGCAATCATGAAGTTGTCTGAAGCCTGGCCTGTGCTGGGAATGCAACTGAGCAGCCTGATCAGTGTGATGGCGCTATTGATGCACAGTGTCCTGAGACAGGGTGCTCGTCGTTGCTTCAGTCTTGCAGTTTGGTTTCACATGTTGCATTTCTTAACATCATCATAGAAATGAAGAAAAGATTAAAGGTGCTTTCACACGAGCACTGAAAACACGGGGCCCATGTGATGAAATTGCATTGATGTCATAAAAAGCAGGCATATTGTGTTGCATGAAAGTGCATCCCTGTCTCCAGATGGCACGGTTCCTGTGTGTTTGCCGCAGGGATTCAGACCTCTTCCATAATTCCTCATCAGTGCAAAACCCATGCAGTTATCACTGCAATTAGTCCAATGTAAAGCATGCAGGTATTATGAGGATACTGTGTATTGAAGTCCACATTGCTGTAGCCATCATGCAAAAATAGCCAAGGACAGTCACAAAATCGAGGAATGAAATTTGGAAGACAGATCAGCCTCCAACAGGCAAATGTTTCATTGTCCCTGAATTCTATCACAAAATGTTCTTGAAAACATGTAATAAAACACATACTTGTATGGTTGGAAAGTCACTGGTACCTTATAAATTCCCATTGCAGTACCAGCAATACCAGTGACAATGTGGCAAAATGGCGAATGTTCACTAACAAGCTGCATTGTACTGTGTGAAAGCCTGTTACAGCATTGCAGGCATCTGTTGCTGTTGTGTGTTTCAAGTGCTTGCGTCTAAACCTTAAATGGCCCTTTTTCATATTATCCTCATGGCTCTTTGTGCATTGAAGTATTCATGAAAGAAATTGGAAAATGGTTCTCTTTTTACCCTTTTTTATTAGAATATTTGTGTGTTGGTCGGTTCATTGGTACTGATGATGTTTAATATTATGTACATATATTCAGGGTATGTGAAAACTTTTGAAAAGCAATCCAAAATATAATGAATTGGCATGTAAAACTTGTGAATGTAAACGGTCTAAGTATGGTTGAATTGCAAAGGTTAGTCTATTAGCTTTTCATTGATGCCCTAATTGCATCTCTGTAATCACAGATAACTCGGAACTTAAGCTTATCACTACAGGTAAACACCTGTTTCCAGTGTGGATTAAATGTATCCCAATCAAAAGCACATAAAATGTTCCCTCAGTTGTTGCTGTACCTATTAGCTCAAGCACTTTTACAACTTGGGCTATGGTGTCGTCAGATGTCTGTCATGAGGACAGGAAAATGCATCAGTTCACCGTCTTATTGCTCTTCGAGATCGATCAAAGGAACTCTTTGAACAGTCATGCTGTGGAATGGCTACCTGAGTCATCTCACCTTACATCCTGCAATTATTTCCCTTTACGGACATTTTAGAGCAATGTTTTTTCAAGTCCACCATATGCTGTTGCCATGTTAAGGGCCCGTTTTCTGAACAAAGTCAACATTTTGTCTTACTATTTAGCGGTGGTGTGAGAAGCTGTCCAAGAAATGCACTGCTGCTGTGATATTCGCATTGATAGGTAATGTAGACATGCTGAAAGTGTTACTGAAGGAAAAAGCGAATCAATAACCTCTTTTCCAAATAACTTTATTTCAAAGAATGGTAATTTTAATTTATATATCCAGTTCACCATACTAACCTGTTGAGTTGGATCAAGTTTAGGTTTTCTTTTTATTGATACACCTTGTCAAATGCTTCATGAAGAGTAAATGGTGAAGGGCTTTTCCTTATCCTTTGATTACATTTCAGCCTTTATTTTTAGCACCTTATCGATTGTTTAATTTCATACAATTAACTGGATATAAAGGGGCGATATTATCTTCCCACAAGACACGGTGAAGGGGTTTATTTACGAGCACCATATGCACATTTTGTAAACATCTAGCTGCACTTACATCTTTGGGCCCAATGCACAAAAAGGAGTTGGAAACAGTTTGGCAAGGGAAGATGCAGAACAAGCTTCTTTGGTGGACGCCAGACCCCCCCCCTCCCTTTTTCAAAGGGGCCAAGAAAATGTGGAAATGTTTTATGCAATCTTATATGGCCTGTCTTAGGGGTGGGGACTTGCATGTTGGAACCTTCTACATTGTTTCCTCTCATTTTTTTACACACAAAAATGGGCTCTTTTTGTGTCAATTAAAGATATTTCAACTGTTAGTTTTGCGTGCTCCTTGTTTATTTTTTGTTTGGTTTACTTGAATTTGCTCCTTTCCTTTTTTGGGGGGGGGTTTCGAATTTTTATTCTTTCCATGAACAAGTTGATGACAAAAGAAGCTGTTTTTTTTTTTTACTTTTCCAAAACGTTCGAGTGCACTTTTAAAAAAAATATAGATTTATTTGAATGAAGAGGCTCCACCTGGATCCTGGAGCATTTAATTTAGTAATATTATCAAAGAAAGGGGTTTACTTTCACTTTTTTTTCGGTAGGATGGATTGTAAACCACCCTGGATCAAACCGCTGTGGTTTATTTAGATCACAAATAGATAAACGTGTTTCTGCGACAATTGCTTCGCTAAATACTGGTTTCATTTGATGCCTTTTATAAAATACTGAGCCATTGGAGGAATTCTATTGAAGGTCCACACCCTCGGCAACAAAAGAAAGCGCGTACCGCTGTTCAGTCTTTGGCATGTTCTCCCCACAAGTTCCTTCAAAGATATGCACAACAGCGGATCCCTATAACACACCTTAAGAAACGAATGAATAGCATTTGTTACCTATGATCCTTTCGAAGGCTGTTTCAACTATTGGTTTACGTCTTATCGCCACATTTTATCCACGAGTGATGAGCAAATGCGACGTGTGGTACGCGAACAATTGTTGATTTTGCATGGGCGGGAATTTATGCAAATTTTGAAATTCCTTTCGCTGCACGCGGTGATCGAACATGCGCTTTCCCGGATCAACGTTTGCCGCGCCGATGAAGCTTGCAGGTTTCGTGATTAGCTGCTTTGAATTTATATCAAGAAAAATCCCCCGTGAGAGCACCCAGAACGTCCTTCTCAACAAGAGAGCAACGAGAGAGGCATGGTGATTGTAAGTAGCAAATGTTTTTGTGAAAATGCATTTTGTAGCCTTTAGCCATTTTCCTCCTTGTAGGGTCTGGGCCAGGCTCATTTACTTTCTGTTTCATCCCCATCCGATGCTGTCGAAGTAAAGAAAAAAATTGATTAGGTTGTCATGGTAGAAAATGACGTTATTATAGTCGAAATCTGTGGAACACGAGTAATGCTGCAGGCCAACCTTCACTCGTCCAGAACCCCAACACAAGAAAAGTAAAGTTAATTGTGGCCTATTTCGAGTATACTAGTATTCTTGGCATATGTGACGTTACAATTTCCAATCAGAAATTTACTATCAAATGTTCTTGACAAAGAGCTCCTGAAAACGTTTCAAAATTGCAATGTAGCCTCATTGTGACTGGAAAATACGATTTAGACTATGCCAATATTTAAAATAGAAGGGCTTTTCCCCTATAGTTCAGTAAGCTTGCTCTGTACGATTTTCTGCCTCGGAACTCAGTCGCAGCAAAGAATTAACCAGCGGAATGGTGAAAGTCTGATTGAGGGTAAACGAACTTGAATGTCAAAATTCGAAATGTTTCGTCCCAGGGAGAAATAGTGCCTTTTTATCTCTATCGGTTTCATTTTTGTATAAAAAAACTTGGCAACACTTTTAATGAATAAAACGCGTTGTAGGGTTTTGCACTAAGTTTGGAATGTCCTGAAACATTCTCCAAACTTTCCGTCTAGCTTATGCAAATGTTTAGGGCCTAGATAAACTTTTAAATAATAAACGTTTAAAATGATATTTAAAATAGCAATGAAACGATTAGCTTCAGCTGTGTGGTTGCATATAGACTGTAGTTTGGTTGCTCTTGCCAAGTGCAGGTGCGCGACAAAACGTGCTTGTTCACGTGTATCATTTTGTGTTGTTCCCTAAAAATGAAGCTGCGTTTTTTGCACTTGTGCTGCGAGACCCTTTTTTTATTTTACTCTAGTGGGCGAAAATTGTCAGCAATCTCTGTCAGTGCAATCAAATACCCGTTCTGTTACCTAGTTTTTGACTAGTTTTTTCTCTCTGCAAGTAAATCGGGTTAGAGCTTCTATTCAGGGTTTCACAAGGAATTCGGTAAAATATCACCCAACGGACACCTTGCTAAATTCTATCCTTGAGGCTAAATTAACATATCTCTACATACCGACCTACCTTGCGTTGAATGATTAAATAGTGCACTGAACATGCTGCATCTTTATACTTAATGTTGATTCTTTGCTTCATGAAAATTATATCCCATTCTATCAAGTAGCATGACTATTTCAAGTTTTCACCCAATTGGCAGAAAGTGATGGTGCCCACTACCCACTTTCTGTGCCTAACATGGAAATTTGGCTAAAAATTAAAAGCAACTTCCTTGCAATAATAACGCCAACAAAACACCATCTTGTTAGGCCGATTAACCAGTTTATTAATGAAGTACATGTTAGAACAAAGACTAATTTGATCTAGAGCATTCCCTGTCTGCAATTCTGAGAAACATTAAGCAGAAAACTGATCCACTAAGATACAACTGTTCGAGTGTTGAAATACGGGTAAAAAGTCACAGGAGCTTCAAGAAGGGAAGTAAATCACCTGCATTTAAAATGTTTAAGATGCTCAGTTTCCTGCGTATGTGTCTAACTGCCATGTCGCAGGTGTCATTTTAATGCTGATGTAAGACTGTGATGTCAAATTACTGTATAAAAACAATTTTTTTGTCTGGTATATACATTGTACCCACTAAGCGCGACAGGAATGGATCTTTTTTTACTTCAATATACACTTACTTCACGTAATTCTTGTTAAGGGTTTCCCCCTCTTTTGTATGTAAAGTAAAATGCCTTTGCTACTCCTTTTGCATCAAATTGCTGTTTCGGTGTCACTCACATATTTCATTTGTTTTTATCTTTCACACACCTGATTTCCAGGGTACATTGTAAATGTTAATAACTACAATTCATAACCTCTTGAGAAATTTGTTGAAGTCTTGTTCAATACTGAAGTGAGTCTTTTTTAAAAACCACCCTCAATTGCTACATTTTTTGGTCGGTTCAATGCAACTCACTTTTTAAAAAATTTGCTTCTTCCTTGAAATGTTAGACAATTCAGAAAAGAATTTACAATTTCTTTTTTGTGTCTTGTTTGTGTTTGCTACAGGGGCGTGGGACTGCTACCTCTACAAATGAAACGTCTTTCATTCACCAAGAGGCCATTGGTGGAGTGGGCAGGAACCCCTCGTGAACCCACCAAAGAATGGAGCTACATAGACACACAAGACAGAGGTCAGGTTGACATTTTTTCTTTGTGAATAAGCCTGTGGTTTCATTTATCGAAACAAAACAACCTGAGACAATTCTCACCCTTGGCTACTGCAACACGAAGCTTGTTCGAAATCAAGAAACTCATGGGAGCACATTGTCACCAGCTAAAAAAAGAGTTCACCTTGAACAAAATGCATGTGAGTGCTTAATTTGTAAAACTTTAGGCATACAGTGTTTTTTTGACAAAGGTAGAAACTTACACAATGCAATTGGTACTCACGAAGGCCTAGCTATTAAAGTAATCATGCTTTATGAATTATTCAAGCACAGTATGTTAAAGTCAGGGTTAATTGGTTACATTCACAATCCACATTTTGTTATTTGCTTTAATGTTATGACTTTAAAAATGATGCATTCAAGAATATGCTCTTATTTCTTCCTTGTTTTCAACTGATACTTTATGCATGGTCTGTTACTTGACAAAGCTAAACTACTTAAGCAGTCGTGTATTAAGAATTCACGCACATTATTTTGAATGGTTTGTTCAGTAGGCAAACTATGTTAATAACGTTTAGAATTTTCCCCAATAGGCAGTTTGTCCAATTCATAATCCATGACAGCATTTGTAAACCGTCTATAGCTGTACAGACCCTCCAATTTTTTTTGTATTTTTAATTTTAATAAGGGCCCCTTTTGTGTACATTTTGGATCTGCCTTGACTACTGTAAAAACGCTGAAAAAATGCACCTCAGAACAAAAATGGGAAAAAATGTACCTTGAAGCATTCCGTCTTTGAAGGAAATTTAATATCCACTTCTTACTTTTCTTCACCAGATGCTGAAACAACCGCTCACTCTTCACAACCTTGATGTTAAATGAGGGATTTCGTAAAGGACTTGAAGATATAACACTGTCTACAGATGAATTAACTCCTAACTTTATAGTGTGATTTATGTAAAGTCTGTGACCCCTTCATCCCTAAAATTGCAACTTTAACTTGTTTGCATAAGCTGCATGTTTTCAAGGACTCTTACCTAAGAAAGCCTACTGTTTGAATAACTGTCTCATAAAGGCAAAGTTTGGACAAAAAAATGCTGATGAAATTGTGCCTAAAACCACATTTTTGAGTGAAGAGAAAAATAGCCACTAAAATTGTTCCCAACTCCATGTATTAAAATTACATGAGTTACTCCTAAAAATGTTCTAAACCCCATGTTTTAGAGTAAAATTGTCCAAATGTCACGTTTAAAAATTACCATTGAAAGTGTTCCTAACCTCATTTTTTAAGAGTAGAATTGTCCATTGTGTTACAAAATTGTCATTGAAATTGTTCCTTTTCCCATGCTTTGAAGAAACATGGCTGAAATTGTTCCCTAACCACGTTTTAAGTAACGGGAGTAATTGCTGCTAAAACTGTTCTAACCCCCGTGTTTTTAAGAGTAAAATTGTACGTCGTGTCACGTTTAAAAATTTCCATTAAAACTGTCTGTCCCTTAGCTCATGCTTTAAACATTCTAGGAAGAATCATGGCTGAAATTGTTCCTAACCCCATGTTTTAAAATTACAAGAATTGCTTCTAAAGTTGTTCTTAACCCCATGTTGTAAAAAATGTGAATTATTTAAAGATAAAAATTACAAGAATAATTGATACTAAAATTGTTCTAAGTCCCCATGATCTAAAAAAGTGACCTGTTTGCAAATTCGCATTTAAAATTTGCCATTTAAATTGTTCGTTACGCCACTTTTTAAAATGTTGCCAAAAAATGGCGGAAATTGTTTCTGATTGCATGTAACGGAAGTAATTGTTGCTAAAACTCATGTTTTAAGATTAAAATTGCAAGAATAATTGATTCTAAAATTGTTCTAACCCCGATGTTGTAAAAAAGTGAACAGCTATGTTTTAAAAAAGTAAAATTACAAATTGCAAGAGGAATAATAAACGAGCAGATCTGATTATTCTCTGTGGCATTTATTCACAAGTTAGAAATATTAAACGTAGGTTACTTTGTACATATTAAACAATGTAATGTTATTACAAGCTTAAGGACATGTTCATTGTGATTGCTATTAAAACTCTACTTTGTAGAGACAAAGTTATTTGATGTGATTAATTACTGCTACACAAAGGACAAAGGACAAAGTGAATTCTTTGCAACTTCGCATTTAAAAATTGACATTAAATTTGTTCTAACCCCCATGTTCTAAAAAATTAACCTGTTTGCAACTTTTCTAACTTCTCGATTTAAAAGGTAGTAGATAAAATGGCAGAAATTGTTCCTAACTCCATGTTTTAAGAGTAAAAGTGCAAGAATAATTGCTACTAAAATTTTTTTAAACCCCCGTGTAAAAAGAATTGTTGGCAACCTTGCATTAAAAACTCCCATGTTCTAAAAACAATGTTTATTAAAGTATACAAACTTTATTTTAAGTTGATGATAATTGGAAAAGGAATAATAAACGAGCAGATTTGATAATTTAATTTCTGTGGCCTTTATTAACAAATTAATAGAAGCTAAACAACACATATTACAATTTGTTACAAGTCTAGAAGGACAAAGGACAAAGGAC